TACTTTTCTTTCCCTCTTCCGCCGACCTCTCTGCTGTTCAGGTTGGTTTTTATATTTTGGCTTAATCGTTAATCATTTGAAGCAATTGATATGAATTATAAGAACTGTAAACCACGCAATTTTTTTAGAACTAAAACACGCAAATGACCGATCGATTGTTTTAGCTCGGACTGTTTTTTGGATTGCATGCCATCTATTTGTGGAAATGTCTACAAGAAAATCTTTTTGATGCATGTTTTGCTTTTCTTGCTCTTTCATGTCTGCTGCAACCGCCAATGAATTCTTGAGTTGTTGATTAGGGAAGCAGAAAATATTGGCACCTACTTTTCTTGGTTGCAGATTCTCTCGAGGGAATTTAGTGGACAGTGAGTGTGGTTCTTGTTTGGTAACTTGAACTCCCTTTTTCGGTATACTTAAACTTTGTTCCACTACTTCTCTGTTTGGTTACTCATTTGTTTTTCTTATTGTGGACAGTTTTGTTTGATTAGCAGTCTTTTTTCATCTGTCTCAACTTTAGCCATTTAATCCTATTGATTATCAGAGAAGACTGAGGATGATGATGTCGTGTTCATTTTGGTTATGTTTTCTGTAAGTGATCTTTTTTGCTTACACCCACTTTAGAACTTTATGAGAGCTTTGAAGAATGACTCTATCCTTGCCAGTCTCTTCCCAAAAGAATAGTTTCCTCTATTCCAGTTTCCTTCCATCAACTACTTGGCCAATTGGGAATGTTGATAGGAACTGTCAAACTATTATTAAGCTTAAAAATTGCTTCTTTTCAGTTTCATGTTCGATTAAGATTGTTCGTAGTCCTTCTTTAGACAAGCATGTTGTGAAGCAAAACAAGATTCGATTTGTCCAAAAGCTGAAGACTCTTCTTCTCTCTAAACCAAAACACTTTATTCCAATCCATATCCTTTCTAAATGTCGGTCTTACCTCTGCCTACCAAAGCCTCATTCCATTGTTTCAACGATCTGTCGGTATCCAACCATTTTCGAACTTTTCAGAATTCCAACACCTCCTACACCGTTTAATGCAACAAAATTAGGCTCTCAACTCTGTGTTCGTCTAACCCCAGCTGCAGCAGCCCTTGCCATGCAAGAACTGAGTTTCAAATCAGCTATTTCTTTTACGTTGGCCACCAAACTCCAGAAACTTCTCATGCTTTCTTCCCACCGTAGACTGTTGTTGTCTAAGCTGGTTCACCTTGCTCCAGATCTTGGCCTTCCCCCAAATTTTCGTTCCCGTCTCTGCAATGACTATCCTGACAAACTCAAGATCGTTGACACCTCATATGGTCGAGCACTTGAGCTTGTCACTTGGGACCCAGTCTTGGCGAATCCACTATCCTCTCCTAAAGTTAACAGTGATATGATAGTAGACAGGCCCTTGAAATTTAAACAGTTGAGACTGCGGAAAGGGTTGAATTTGAAGAGACATCATCAAGATTTCTTGATCAAGTTTGGAGAATTGCAGAACGTGTGTCCTTACAGTACAGCTATGGAAGG